AGCATCCTCATCATAACCATCAGCAACATCATCATCATCATCATCATCATCATCATCATCATCATCACCATCGTCATCTTCATCAGCATCATCACCATCATCACAATCATCATCATCATCACCATCATCATCATCATCATCATCATCATCATCATCATCAGCATCATGAGCATCATCATCTCCTCCAGCGGCGCCAGCGCGAACGGAAGGCCTCGTCACAAGCGCCAGCGCCAGCAACACCACCGCCGCCGCACGGCCACCCATGGCGCAGCCCCAGCGGCGGGAGGGCGTCACGACTCTCCGGCGACTCCTCCTCCTCCTTCTCCTCCTCCTCCTCCTCCTCTTCCTCCTCTTCCTCCTTCTCCTCCGTCTCCTCCTCTTCCTCCTCCTCCTCCTCCGCCTCCTCATCCTCCTCCTCCTCCTCGTCCTCCTCCTCCGCCTCCTCCTCCTCCCCCTCCTCCTCCTCCTCCTCCTCCTCGCCTCCTCGTCGTCCTCCTCCTCCTCCTCCCTCCCTCCCTCCCTCCCTCTCCCTCCTCCCCATTGATCCTTGTCACCGTTGTCGTCACCGTTGTCGTCGTCGTCGTCGTCGTCGTCGTCGTCGCTGTCGTGGTGGGTGCTGCTCTGCCCAAGGGCTTCGTGCCCCTCGCGCGGTGACCGTCCCCTCTGGCCTGCGACGCGCTGCGCGCCCGCCCCAGACCGTCCGCCTGTGCTGCCGCCCGCCTTGTCGTCTCCGGAGCTCGCTGACCCACTGCGCCTGGAGCCTCGCTTCGGCTCACGCTTGGGCACGCGTCGTCTCCGCAGCTCCCTGATCCTGAGCAGCGTTTACCCGACCCCCTATCCCCATGGGCGTGGCCCCGGTCCCACTGGCGGATTTACCCTTCCAGATGTGGCTACAGGCCGTTTCCGTCGGGTTTCACAGCGTAGATCCCCAGCTGGGGGCTGAGATAGTGGGGGTCTGGATGGCGATGGGGATAAGGGGATAAGGGGGTGGTTCAACAATACTGAGATCCGTCTCCGCGGCTTTCCGCCCGCCTGTCGTCTCCGCAGCTCCTCCTCCGCCCGCCTGTGGTATCCGTCTCCGCAGCTACCCGATCCGCAGCGCCTGGAGCCTCGCTTCCTCTCACGCCTGGACACGCGCCGCCCACTGGCGCCGCCGCCCTGCCCCACCCGCCCGCGGCGCGCACGCAGCTTGGCCCGCAGCTTGGCGGCGGGTGCCCAGGGGAGCCCCTGGGCTCGGCAGAGCACGCAGGTGTCAACACGAAGTGTCTGGGTGCTGGTCCCGGAGGGGGAGGGGGGGGGAGGGCGTGCTCGGGGGGAGGCCTCTTGAGCCTTCTTGGGGCCTCTGTGGGCCATCTTTGGGCCCCCTTGGGCCGCGTTGGGGCCCTCTTCGGGGCCTCTGGAGCCGCCTCGGGGCCATCTTGGCTTCAGCACCCGCCAACGTCATGCCCTTCGCCGAACGTCGCGGGGTGGGCCATCTCCCCACTCCGTGATTCGGCGCAGATCGCCAGCACGCCTTGGTGCCGGCGTCGGCGCCGTCGCCGGCAATGGCGCTAGCGCCGTGGTCGCGTGGCTCTGCTCGGGACCTTGCTTCCCTCATGCAGTGGCCACTGCCACATCCTCCTCCTCCTCCTCCTCCTCCTCCTCCTCCTCCTCCTCCTCCTCCTCCTCCTCCTCCTCCGCCTCATCCTCCTCCTCATCCTCATCCTTCTCGTCGTCGTCCTCCTCCTCCTCCTCCTTCACCCCCCCCCCATCATCCCCCTTATCCGTCGATTTCCCCCTTCTGCTCCTCCCTGCGTCCTCTTCCCCATTATACTCTTGCTCGTCCCCCTCCGCACTCTTCTCCTTCTCCTCCTCCTCCTGCTCCTCCTCCGCCTCCTCCTCCGCCTCTTCGCTCCTCCTCCTGTCCTCTCCTCCTCCTCCTCCTCTCCTCCTCCTCCTCTCCTCTCCACCCCCCCCCCCATCATTCCCCTTATCCGTCCGATTTCCCCCTTCTGCTCATCCACTGCGTCTCATTCCCCATTAGACTCTTGCTCGTCGTCCCCGCACTCTTCTCCTCCTCCTCCTTCCTCCTCCTCCTCCTCCTCCGTCCTCCTCCTCCTCCTCCTTACTCCTCCTCCTCCTCCTACTCCTCCTCCTCTCCTCCTCCTCCTCTTCCCTCCTCATCCTCCTCATCCTCATCTCCTCCTCCTCCTTCTCCTCCTCCTCCTCCTAACCTCCTTCATCCCCCCCCATCATCCCCCTTATCCGTCCCTCCCCCTTATCCGTCGACTCCCCCCCTTCTGCTCCTCCCTGCCTCTTCCCCATTATACTTTTGCTCGTCCTCCTCCGCACTCTCCTCCTCCGCACTCTCCTCCTCCTCTTCCTCTTCCTCCTCTTTTATCTCCTCCTCCTCCTCCTCCTGCTCCTCCTCCTCCTCCTCCTTCTCCTCCTCCTCCTCCTCCTCCTCCTCCCCCTCCCCCTCCTGAAGTGGGCCTAACGGCACTCTCGAGCACCAAGCGGCAGCGCGCAGCAGGGGTGCACGAGACGCCCGAGCGAGCAAGAGCATGGACAGGGAACGTGCACGACACAGCATACGCAGAGAGGGTAGAAGGCAGGGGAAGGGGAGAGGGGACGGAGGCAAACTAGGTGTTCCCGCGCCGCATCTGACACTATACCCGCCCAACCCATCCACTCCCATTGCGCCGGTGTCTTCTCTATCCTCCGACGTTTTCCATAGCGGACCTGGCTTTCCAAAAAACGGCCCCATGGTGTTATGCGCAATCCGAGAGGGGGAGCTGCGTACATTGGAGGAAGAGGTGGCGGATGAGCAGGAGGATAAGCAGGAGGACGAGGAGGATGAGGAAGGAGGAAGACGAGGACGAACAGCAGCAACAGGAGCTGGAATAGAAGGAGCGGGAGCAGCAGGAGGACCAGGGAAGGCGGAGGAGGGCAAAACATGGAGGCGGCATCGATGAGACAGACTCGGATCCCGATAATCATTGCCCGAAACAACGGGAGCAAAGCGCCGGTCCTGATATGAGACCTAAGCTGCAGTGGCAGTACCCTTTGTAGACACCGCAAGCGTTCCGAAATTCCCCCAGAAAAGAAACATAAGAAAGGCCAACGCTGGAAACCCATATTGATTTAATTATGTAACTATAATTATGCATTATTAAAATATACAACGATGTGTACATAGAAATATGTATGCACTCCCTCTGCTGAAAAAGCTCCTCTACTACCCAAGGCCGACGATCTTTTCCGGGCTCACCACGGCCTCTGCAAACTTCTGAAAGCTCGAGGCTGGGGCCGGCCACGGCTGGGCCCGGCCTCGACTAGCCACTGGGTGGGTGGGATGGGAGAGCTTTAAGCCAGAGCCCACGCGCGTCGAGGAAGCACTGCAATCAGCGATGCCCTTCCTCTGCTGAAAAAAGCTCCTCTACTACCCAAGGCCGACGATCTTTTCCGGGCTTACCACTGCCTCTGCGAACTTCTGAGAGCTCGAGACTGGGGCCGGCCACGGCTGGGCCCGGCCTCGACTAGCCACAACCGCTCATGGTGAAAGACGGGGAGGGGGCGGGAGGAGCGAAGCGGGCACCGAAGAGCTCAGTTGGCAGCAGCGGCGGCACTCGAGGACGGGGACCAGAAGGGAGAGGGTCGACGTCGCTCGGCCTCGGCAAACGACTCGCAGCCACAGAAGGACGAGGTGGACGACGATCTAGACACAGAACACAAGGAGCCAGCCGCGTAAGAAAACAAAAAGAAATTGCAGCAAAAATCCACAAAACCATGCAAAATGCAAAAAAATCAATAAAAATCCACCGCAATAGACCGAATAAACAAAAATATTAAAAAAAAACAAAGACAAGAAAAATCCAAACAAACCCAACAAACAACTTTCCAACAAATAGAACAAAAAATATAAGGAATGGTAGTTGGCTTGGGTTGTTTTCGCCTCGAAAAGAAGGTCGCCGGCAGCCTCCGCGAAAAGCGGGATCTTGATACGGAGGGGCCCAAAGAGGTTCGCGAGGAGCCTGCAAGCACCTACCTTCTGCATATAAATCTCTAGCCTACGACTGGAGAGCCGACGACCTCAGTAGCGCACCCAGTCTGGCGAGTCTGAAAATCTATACCAAAATATCGCCCCTCCCGGGCGGAGGGACGCAGGAGAGATGCCAACTCTGTCCGAATATCTAATTCCAAAAAACTCCATAAGGACATCCAGACAGGATCTGAAGGCACGGGCACCACCATGCACAAGAGGGGAGCGAGGGGAGGACCAAAGTGAAAGGGACTCGAGGAATTGCACAACCTGTGGGACGTCAATCCTGATGTGCACGCGGCGCGCGCCAAGACATCTCCTTTTGTGACGCGCCGACGTGCACATACATTACTTGCAAGCGCTCTAAAGAACGAGAGTGGAACACGAGGTCCTCGAACCTCAGCCTCAGGAACTCGGAAGGCCTCATCATGCCAAAGAAGCCCAGGAGCAGGCAGCCGGCCACGTCGAGCCCGCCCCAGGCCAGCGCCAAGCCGCCAGGTCCACCCCCGCGGGGCGGGTCGTTGGCGGGCGCGGCGCCTCCGCGCGGCCCAGCCGCAGCAGCAGCACCAGGAGCCCGCAGAGCCGGCGCCGCCAAGGGAGGCTGGCCGTGCCCGGGCGGATCTGGGCCGTCACCTGACCAGGGGATGAAACCCTGCTCACCTCCCTGGGGGGGGGGGGGGGGCGTCTCGGCGAGCCGGCGCCGTGCTCCGCGACCTCATGCCCGCCGCCGCCGCGCGAGCCCTCCCCAGAGAAGCCCAGCGCGGGGTCGCGCACCCGCGGGCGGGGGGCCAGCCGCAGGAGCCCTCGCCACCACAAGCTCGCCACCAGCCAAGCCCACCGCGAGTGCTGCCGGCGCTGCAGCGGGAGCGGGGCCCAGGCGCGAAAGGCCGAGGCGTCCCCTGCTTCGAGGCTGGCCAGCCAGGGCGGAGCGGGAGGCGACGCCTCGGCCCCGCTGTCCAGCGCGCTCCACCGCGCTCACCGGGTCGTTGAGCGCGCGCGACGGAGCGTCGGCTGGCTGCAGGCGAGTCGGCGAGAAGTGGCATCCGACGTACGTGCCCGTGGCCAGCTGCAGGGGGGCCCTCCTTCTCAAGAGCTTATTGATTGCGGTCGAAGCGGAGCGGCCCTTGCTGATGGCCCCGATCGAGACGCGGGAGTCCAGGCAGAGATTGTGCTTGCAGTCGGGGAAATGAAGGCCCTGCTCGTCCACCGCATCGCAGGCCGCATCGATCTCCAGCAAGTTGATGTGGAGGGGCTTGCGGAAGCGGCGGTGGTGGTGCAGCTGCCACGGGGCGGAGCTGACGAAGTCGTTGAGCCAGAGGGCCTCGAACGCTCCAGGGGGCGCCCCTCCCTCCGACTGCTGCGACGGGGAAGGCCAGCCCAGGTTCTCGGCGATCAGCCGGGACAACTCGTCGCAGAAGCCGCGCGGGTAGAGCGCGGCTTTGGAGGTCAAGCCGCCCTCCAGCATGGTGCGCGCGTGGCCCCCGCGGCAGCGCTTCGCCATCGGCGCCAGCCAGGAGCCCCGCACTGCCAAGAGGCTGGTGTCCTTCTTCCAGGGCACGCCGAACTGGCACATCGAGAGATCGAACCGCTCCACGACGTCGTGCGACAGCAAGAACTCAACAATGCGTGTGGACCAGGAATAGGCCGTCAGCGGATGCTCACGTAGGCCAGTGCCGTAGCCCGAGGGCAGGTGCGCAAGTAGCGCCAGCATGCCTAGCCTGAAGAGGACGTTGCCCAGCCGCGTCGGGGTAGACGACGGGTCGAATGACCCACTCTGCCAGGCGCGAGTTGACCAGGTCCCAGTACTTGTGGCACTTGATGTCGATCCTCGGGCCCACGCGCAGGCCCCTGTCCGCGAGGTGGCCCATGGAGGCGGGCCTCCTCCCCGCAGCAGAGCTCCAGCACGTCGAAGGACTCGATGAGCGAGGCCGAAGGATCGACGGCGCCGGGGGGCGGGGCGGCGTCCTCCTCCAGATCCTGCAAGACGCCGCCGTCCTCGGGGTTCGCCAGGGCCGCCCAGCCAGGAGGGTACAGCCACGTACGAGCACCACGCTGCTCGCGCTGTCGCCAGAAAGGGCACCTGGACGGGCGTCTTGACGGACGCCCCAGCTAGGTGCGAGGCGCCCGAGGCAAGCACGTGCGGGCCCCACCCCGCGGAGAGGTCCGTGGTCATCAGCGGGAGGAGGACCGCGAACAGGGCGCACTCATTGCAGGCAGCGCCGCTCAGGCCGAACACCACGTGCGGGTCGCGCCCGGCGTCTACCTCCTTGTAGCAGTGGTGGAGGAGCGACAGGGTAGGCCTCCGAAAGAGAGCGGCGAACAGACCCATGCCCAGGAACCTCTGCAGGCCCAGCGCGGTGGAATGCCGGCCTCGGGCCAGGGAGAGGCCCATCCAGGCCAGCGCCAGCCTGCGGGCGCGGGAGGCGCCGACGAGCCGGTCGTGGCCCAAGAGTTCCGCCCCGATGACCGTCGCCTCCGCAGCGTCCTTCACCTCCTTGCTCGCGCTGACCTTGAGGCCAGCGTCAGCGTAGCCCTCGCGCGCACGGGCGAAGGAGTACTCGATCGCGCGCCGAGCTGCCCGCGAGCCAGGAGCGTCGACGGCCGGGCCGAAGCGGTCGCCCAGCACGACTCCCTCCCAGGCGGCCCCCTCGGGGGCGAGGTGGCGGTTGAGGAGCCGCCGCTCTGGGGGGAAACTGCCAGCCTGGGCAAACAGACGCACGTGGGATTCGCGCGCCCAATCGGGCGCGTTCAGGCCTCCCATGATCAGGCCGCCGTAGCAAGGGACCACCGTCTCGGGAAGGTCGCGGCCCTCGCGATGACAACGTTTCCGCGACCTGTCCAGCGCCGCGAAGCCCTCGTAGAGCCGCGTCGGGAGGGGGAGGGCCACGTCGTTGGTGCGAGCCATCTCGTAGGTGCAGTCGAAGGCCGGGTAGAAGTCCTGGATGTCATCGGCCCACACACGCAAGACATGGCCAGCAGGCACCTCCAGATCCACCAGCACGGCGGCGCTAGGGGTAAAACCTGGAGAAGCCGCCCAGCGGGAGCTCGGCCGCGTTGCGGGCGATCCGGTTGAAGGCGACCCTCTGCGTGTTCGCGTCCTTAAAGACGGGGAAGAGGGTGCCTCGCAGGGCTCGCGGGGAGTCGGCCGCGGCGACCAGCTCCAGTCGCCCCACGTCGCCCCACTGCTTCAGGCACTGCAGGAGGTCGCCGGGCTTGCCGGCCTGACGGGCCGGCCTCGGGGGGGCCGGCCGGGCCGGGGGCCCCGCAGCCCGCGCCAAAGGGCCAGCGCCGGGCCCGTCTCGCGCCAGCGGCCGCGGCTCCAGGAAAGCGGCGGCGGAGAAAGGGTCCAAGAAGGACAGGGGGTCGAAGTGGCACTCGGACTTGGCGAAGGGGGCCTTGCTCGGGTCGACGGTCATCACCTCGCTGTCGGGGGGAGGCGCCTCGGCGCCCAGGGGAAGATGCATCGCATTCAGGAGATAGTCGAGAAGAGCCTCGGCCTTCTCCACGCGGCCGCCTTGCCATTGCAGGGGCCGGCACATCGGTCGCACGAGTCTCCTCAGCCTGGACGCCATCTCCGACTGAGACGGACTGAGCGGCCTCCCAGCACGGGCGCGACAGCGCGAGGACGACGGCGTTGACCCACATGCGCTCGACGTGGGAGCGAAGCCATCTCCTGCGGGCACGGACGCCCCGCGGGGGGGCACCAGCAGCCCACCCGAAGGGCAGGGGGCAGGGCAGCAGACCGGCGGCAGGAGTCGCAACCTCCTGGGCCCCAGCGGCGTGCATAGAAGAACGGGCGAAGGCGCCGAAGGCCGTGCGGAGCCCGCGCAGGCGGCGGATCAGACCGAATCCCCACCGAATGCCCACGTCCATCGAATTGTCGCCGCCAACCAGCCTCCTGCGGCCCCCCACGCGCCCGCGTGGCAGGGGGGCTGGGGCCGCCTCGCGCAGAGCTCCCGGGCCGCCAGGCCGGGGGGGCCCCGCTCTCACTCGTGAGGGGGCGCGCCGCTGGCCTTGCCATGGCGCTTCGAGCCCCCGCCCTTGCCTCCGCCCTCCTCGGTCTTCGGTGCGGGGGCAGGCGCCAACTTCCGCTCCGCGTCCTCGAGGGCCAGGGTGTCCTTGGTGTAGCCGATCGCTGCCGCGACCCACTCGGGCGAGGCTAGGCGGGACATGGGGCGGATCTGCCCGCGCGCCGGCGCCTGGCGGATCGAGGTCCAGGGGGGCTCGGGGAGGTGCGTCAGCAGCCAGGCCGACGTCCAGCGCCACTCCCGCAGGGCTGCTTGTTCCGACGCGCAGAGGAGGGGCGCCAGCTGAGCCTCGGCTGCGTGCCACGCGCCGCGCTCCATCAGGTCGAACACCTCCGCCATGCCGAAGACCGGGAATGCCGAAGACCTCGCCTGCCCGAAGGGAACGTTCCGAGCGAAGTAGTTCCGTGTGGCGTCGCTCGCGCCCTCCTCGCTCGCAGCCCCCGTCATGTTGAGCTGGCGGTTCCGCCTCAGCATGGCGGAGATGGCCTGGGGGCGGCACTGGACCTGGCGGCGGAACGGCTCGAGCGCCGCGGCGCCGCGCGCGCCGCCAAGCCTCGTAACGGTGCTCTCGCCAAGCCCATCGTCGTGCCCGCCGTCCGCCAGGAGCGACAGCGCGTCCGGCTGGCGACCGCTGCTCTGAGCAAGGGCCCCCAGCAGTGACGTCTGCTGGGACAGAAGGGCCATCAGGTGCTCCTCCCGGCCGCCGGAGCCTGCGGGGGCGCCCTGGAGCGGGGGCCCCGCGGTCCGGCCCGCCTGGGCTGGTCTTAGTGGTATCGAAGGTATCGTCTTGCCTGCCTGCACGACGCTTCGGCACCGCTCGCACGTCGTGGCCCAGGAGGAGGGGGAGAAGGAGGAGGAGGGGGGAGAAAGAAGAAGGAGGAGGATGAGGAGGAGAAGGAGGAGAAGGAGTAGGATGAGGAGGAGGAGGAGGATAAGTTGCCGCCAGCAATGTTTTTTACGTAAGGCAAGCCAAGTGGCAAGCCAAGCCAAGTGACGCCAACATGTTCTTAACGCAGTAGAACATGTTGGCGTCAGGGGCTGCAGTTGTGATGAGCTGCATGGAGTGCAGGGGAGGAGGAGGAGGAGGGGGAGGGAAGAGGAGGAGGAGGGAGGAGGGAGGAGGAGGGAGGAGGAGTGAGGACGAGGGAGGAGGGGGGAGGAGGAGGGGGGAGGGGGTTCTGACGCTTTTCGTTTTTTCCTGGTCCTCTTCGGCTGGTTCGGCCTTTCCTGACGCCCTCGTCGCCGCGGCTGGATCTGCCTCCCCTCCTAGGACTTCCCCCCCCTCCTCTTCGCCCTGAGCACGCCCTGGGCCGGCAGGCGGGGACGACGACGAGACCGTCGCGTCGACCACCTCGCCGAGGCGCCGCCCCGCGCGCCCGGGGGGGGGGGAGGAGGAGGAGGATGAGGAGGAGCTCGGCGAGGAGGAAGAGGAGGAGGAATGAGGGAGAGGAGGGGGAGGAGGGGGAGGGAAGAGGAGGAGGAGAGGAAGGAGGAGGGAGGAGGAGGGAGGAGGGGGGAGGAGGAGGGGGGAGGGGGTTCTGACGCTTTTCGTTTTTCCCGGAAAGGGCTCAGGCCCAGGGTTCTCTTTTAGTTGGTAAACCTGTCCCCCGGTGCCAACTTGAGGGAGGCCGGCGGATTTTTTCCCTGATAAATATCGAGGTCGAAGGAGGCCGGCAGATTAAAATTTGAGGATGTCTCAGGCGAAACGCTTTTTTTGAAATCCCGATCGATAAATCACAGGGTGCGGGACACCTCAGCACGACCACACCCCCAGCATGACCCACACCCCAGCACGACCACGCCCCAGCACGACCACGCCCCAGCACGACCACGCCCCAGCACGACCACCCCCCAGCACGACCACACCCCAGCACGCACGACCACACCCCAGCACGACCACACCCCAGCACGACCACACCCCAGCACGATACCCCAGCACGACCCCACCCCAGCAAGACCACACCCCAGCACGACCACACCCCAGCACGACCTCACCACAGCACGACCTCACCCCAGCACGACCACGCCCCAGCACGACCACGCCCCAGCACGACCACCCCCAGCACGACCCACCCCAGCACGACCACCCCCCAGCACGACCACACCCCAGCACGACCACCCCCCACCACGACCACCCCCCAGCACGACCTCACCACAGCACGACCACACGACCACGCCCCCCACGACCACGCACGACCAGCACGACCACGCCCCAGCACGACCACGCCCCAGCACGACCACGCCCCAGCACGACCACGCCCCAGCACGACCACCCCCCAGCACGACCACCCCCCCAGCACGACCACCCCCCAGCACGACCACACCCCAGCACGACCACACCCCAGCACGACCACACCCCAGCACTTGGTTGAGTGGTTGCCTGTCGTCGTGGAATGTTTCGTGGGGTGTCTCGTGGAATGTTTCGCGGGGTGTCTCGTGGAATGTTTCGTGAGGTGTCTCGTGGAATGTTTCGTGAGGTGTCTCGTGGGATGTTTCGTGAAGTGTCTCGTGGGATGTTTCGTGAGGTGTTGCCCAGTTGGGTATCGTGAAAACGTGTCCATGCTCCACATGTCTATATCCCTTTCCGGGTTCGTGGGTCCATCATGTTCCTGGTCCTCTTCGGCTGGTTCGGCCTTTCCTGACGCCCTCGTCGCCGCGGCTGGATCTGCTCCCCCTTCGTCTGTTACCTGCTTCGGCTGACCCATCCACCCTCAGCTGCTTCGGCTGACCCCCTCTCCTGCTGGTTGCCGAAATGGGGGTCGGGGAGGCATGCGAACCCTGTGGCCGAACCAGCCAAACGTTAAACGAGGCCGAACCAGCCAGCCCGACTGGCGCTGTCTCTTCAAAACGAGGACCCAAAAGAGGCTCCCCAAAGTCCCAAAACGAAACGGCCGCATCCAATAACCCGCGTACCCACTACCCAGGCACGGCGGCGGGATATGCCGGGAGGCATGTAGATAACAGCTAGAAGGGCAGCAGAAGCAGCAGCGAGGGTGTTTTTTTCCCGGAAAGGGCTTGAGCCCAGGGTTCTCTTTTAGATGGTTTCCCCCCCGGGTTTGACGGGAAGAGGGCCGGCGAATTTCTTTTGCGATAAATAACAAGTGGGAAGAGGGCCGGCGAATTAAAATTTGAGGATGTCTCGAGCGAAACGCTTGTTTTTCAGAATTTGTTGAGGATGTCTCGAGCGAGACGCTGGTTTTGCAGAGTTGGGGATGTCTCGATCGAGCGAAACGCTTGGTTTCAGAATTTGTTGAGGATGTCTCGAGCGACACGACGCTGGTTTTGCAGAGCCGACCGCGACACGGCAAAGCGCCCCTCGCGCAGGAATTCCAAGGATGTCTCGCGCGTGCCGCGTCCCGCGCGCGGGTATTTGGATTTCTTGGGATTTTGACAGGATGTCTCGAGCGAAACGCTTGTTTTTCATAATTTGTTGAGGATGTCTCGAGCGAAACGCTGGTTTTGCAAAATTGGAGGATGTCTCGAGCGGTGGCCTCGTGGGGGGGCCAGAATTCAAAGGATGTCTCAGGCGAAATGCTTGTTTTCACGTCCCGCTCGCAGGAATTCCGAGGATGTCTCGCGCGTGCAGCGTCCCGCGCGTAGGAATTCAGATGATTTTGACAGGATGTCTCGAGCGAAACGCTTGTCCCCAGCACGTTCCGTAGCGCGTCCCCTTGGCAGGTCCCGCGATGCGTCCCCGCGGCGCGTCCCTTGGCACGTCGCTTGGCGCGTCCCTTGAGACGTTCTGCGTCGCGTCCTCCTGGCATGTTCCCCTGTCCATTAGCTCTGGGGCAGCTACTATGTGTTCAGGCAGCTCGAGCTTAAGATCCAGATCAGTTCGGTCAGGACTCGGATGCAAAGGAGGACTCGATCCACGAGGCTATAGAGCACAATCGCGCCATGGCACATCGCAATTCAGCACGGCGCAGCACAGCACTGATTTCGGCACGGTACATCA